GCACAAAATCACAACACAAGATTAAGGCTAGAATGGGAAAAGCTGCTGGTGGGGTCAGGGAAGGCTTTCTGGAGGAGGTGGCGACTGGAAGGTTCTCTTCCTGAACTTAACCCTTACTCGAAACACCACTTTCTGGTTGTTCGGTCTCCCCCACACCACTGACTGGCATGCCAGGCGTCAACCACATGACATCACTCAGGGGTCTGGACTGGACGGGATTCTCTCCGGTCTCTTGCCAGCTCCTTTTCCCCACCTTCAAGCCCGGCTCAGTCCTTACATCCTCCAGGAAGGCTTCCCTAACAAACCCCCTCTGTCTTCAGTTCTCACACGTACTTCTCTTGCTACCTTTAGTTTTGTGCTTTGTCTTCACACCCACCTGCCCTTCCCATTCGTCAGCTCTTTTGATTCAGGGGCTATGTGGTTGTCTCTGCCTTCTTGGTGCCGGGCTGGGGTAGAGAAGGCACATGACGTGCCTCTGTAGGGCTCAAGAGTATTTTTTACATTTTTATTCATTTATTTTTAGAGAGACAGGAAGGGAAGGAGAAAGGGAGGGAGAGGAGCATCACCCTGCTAGCTGCCTCTCGCATGCCCCCCACCCCGGCATGTGCTCTGGGCTTTCTCTCCGTCTCCTTTGACATTTGCCACGCCCGACAAGTCAGGCAGGGCAGGACAACAGGTCTCCTCAGAGAACTGGACGTTGGCTTTGCATGTCAGGCTCTGGCAGGGGACATTTATCTGAACGTTCATCACCTCTGATTCTCAGTGCCCCCCACACACAGAATCGCTGGGAGAATTCGGCCATGTGTCTGTGAGCTAAGGACGTGAGGTCTGAACAAATTATAGGAGTTTCTGCTGTCAAGGCCAAACCTCAATTCATTCTCAGGACAGACCTCTGGCGCGCCTGGCAGGTGGAAGAAGTCTGCCTCCACGCACACGGACCTGTTGCTGCAGTGTCCACTGTCTGGGTAGATCCTTCCCCTTGTTTAAAAAAAAAAACCTTGGCTGGTGTAGCCCAGTGGATTGAACACCGGCCTGCAAAGCAAAGGGTCACTGGTTCGATTCCCAGTCAGGGCACATGCCTGCGTTGTAGGCCAGGTCCCCAGTAGGGGACACATGAGAGGCAACCACTCCTTAATGTCTCTTTCCCACCCTTTCTCCTTCCCTTTCCCTCTCTCTAAAAACAAATAAAATATTTTTTTAAAAAGCTGAGCACAGTCTGTTGTATTACCTTTAATATCCCATTTGAGACATTTCTTCTTAGTCTTTAGAATCAGAAAATTTGCCTTTCATGAAGAGTCCATCTCTCCCTTTGATCACATAACAGAAATAAAATGAGCTCTTTGTGTTTACCTTTTCTTCCTGGCTGCCGGGAAGCTCAGAGGTAAGTAATAGCACTATAGTAGGAATCAGAGTCAAAATATTTTCTTCTCACTTCTATGGACTTCGCCCCTTCAACTGAAACCTTGTTGGGTCCTTTACGAGAAGGGCACGTGAAAATCAACATTTCTGTAACAATCCTGCTGAGAGAACTGGGAAAGGACCCAGGTTTAAGAGCCGAAGGTTCGGGCCAACCCCTCACCCTCTCCGAGCCCCGGGCTCCGCCTCAGCAGCCCTTGGAAAGAGGCGTCTCTCCTGCGACGGCTGCCTACTGCCTCGGGGAGGTCACGGGGCCTCGGTCCGCATCATCCCCGTGGAGGCTGTGAAGTTCCCAACCTTGAACGCGTTCACACTTCCGTCCTAGTGTGGCTAGAATTTTCATTTGTATAGAGCAGTTGGAAGAAGAGATTTTCCTGACCTAATCCTCTGACCTAAATGCGGCCACCTAATCTGCATTTTTCCAAAACACTGTGCTGGACAGACCACAGCTGGCTGCAGGCCAGGTCTCTCCCCAGTCAAGCCCAGCCCACCCCCCACACAGTCTGCTGGGTGTGTTCTGGCTGGGGGCGGGGCAGCAGCTTACACCATTTCTTCTGAACCCTGTCTTCCCCACCCCCAACTGCCCCCACAACATCCCAAGAAACCTGCCTCGTTCTGAGAAACCCCAGCCCCCGTCAAGTAGATCCAAGGGGGCCCTGATTCAAGCTGGACCACACATCGGTAGGTCCCTGCCCCGGCCTTGGGTGATTGATTTGAAATGGGTGCCTCGCCTAAGATGAGCGGATGAATTCCCTCCCCTGGGCGTGTTTTTGCTGGAGGTCAGAGAGGAGCAGGTAACTTTCTCCAGGGACTGAAACAGTAAGATGATATAAAACTCAGCCACTGGCTGCTACTTCGTCCGTGGTGGGGCTGGGGGCTCGGCCAGTGAAGAGGGTGCACAGAAGTAAGAACGAAGAACTGTGAGAGAAATGCCCCAACCTGTGTGGCTCAGTCAGCTGGGCGTCATCCTGCAAACCGAAAGGTCCCCAGTTGGACTCCCAGTCAGGGCACAGGCCCGGGTTGTGGGCCGGACGCCCAGCTGGGGCGCCTACGAGAGGCCGCGTGTCCATGTATCTCTTGCACATCATTTCTTTCCCTCTCTTTCTCCCTCCCTTCTTGCCTCTCATAAAATATTTTAAAAAACCCAAAAAACAAAAAGGAACTGAGCCCTGGCTGGTGTGGCTCGGTGGACCGAGTGTTGGCCTGAGAACTGAAGGGTCACTGGTTGGATTCCCGGTCAGAGCACAAGCCCGGGTTGCGAGCCAGGTCCCCAACAGGGGCACACGTAAGACCCAACCACACATTGATGTTTCTCTCCCTCTCTTCCTCCTTTCCTCTCTCTCTAAAAATAAAAAATAAAATAAAAGTAAATAAATACACGGCCGAGAGAAAGACTGGGGGTCCAAAAGCCTGCTTCGCATCCTGAGCCGTACAGGGCCCAACATCCCGTCCTCACGACAATGTTCCCTTCTGACCCAAACAAGCCGAGCTGGCGTGTGTGTCCCTTGCAATTATCAGTCCCAGCACATCCCTGTGGCTTCTGCATGGGCCCTTCCAGGCCTGCCCTGACCGAGGCCAGGAAACAGCTTTTTGATAAACAGGCAGCCCTGAGCTTCGGGGCCTGGCCTCACACCTCTGGGTGCTCAGGTGAGCCCCGAAGGAGGGCCAGAGCCTCAGCTGTAAGAGGTTTTCTCCCTCAGGGAAGGGAGCCCAGAATACACTGGGGCTGGCACCGTGAGAGAAACCGAGGAAGTGCGGCACTATTTACCCAGTGGGTGGTGCTGGTCCCCCCATTCTTGTGCGGGGTGATCCGAAAGGCGCTGGAAGGGCCCCACCCTCCACTGGGTCCTTGTAGTACCCACTCAGCTGCCCACCAGCCTCTGCCACACGCTGCCTGCCCTGGCGGCCTCCACTCAGAGCCCCAGCTCACATGCTCGCCCATCTCTGGGGGCTCCAGTCTGCCCCTGCTCTGCCTCCGACTCCCAGTCCCAAACCCAGGTGGCAGTAACCGCGGGTCACACTGGGTGGGTCGCTTCTCTCTGAGCTTGTTTCTCCCTCTGTGTGACAGTGTCCTCAATACCTCTGGTTTCTCACCCATCCCTTCCTCCTTTAGGGAACAGCCGCTGCCCACACCCCTGCGGACCACGTGGTCAGTAGAGCAGACCGCCACCCCAGCTCCGGTGGAGGGTACCAGAGCTGTACGGCACTCGGGACTCCCCACCTCTTAAGCTCATGGGCCCCGGGGGCTCATGGGAACCACACCCTGAACTTCGGCTGGAATGAGACACATGCCGTCCCCTGAAATCGGGGCGCTGAGGGCTGCAGGAGCGAGAGCACCTACCCCTGTGTGGAGACAGTTCTCGTGGGAATGAAGCAAGACTGGGCGAGACAGAGCAATGCAGAGGGGGCACGTCCCGGTGACCTCCTAAAGGCCTAGGGTCCAGCCTGAGTCCAGAACCGAACCCTTTTCTAAGCTGTTTTCAGTTTGGTTTCTTGTGCCTGCAAGAGTCCTGGGCAGTAGTGAAGGGGAGCTGCCTGGTGTGGGGGTTCACGCTGTGAGGTTTAGACACAGCAGGGCCGGAGCCCAGCCAGGGTGAGGCAAGAGAAGTGCCCAGGACTCGGAACTTCCTGGATGTGACCCCAAGGGGCCTCTCTGGCCTCACCCTCAACCAGCTCTGCAAGACGGCTCCTGGCTCCGCCCGGGGGAGGAAGAGCGGCAGAAGACAGAAGGTGACAGAAGACAGCTCTGCCCTCCCTGACTCCTTAGGCGGGGCATGTGCAAGCCCTGGTCTGGGGTCCGGAGAGCCTGTCCACCTCTCAGCCCACTGCCCCATGGCCTCAGGCAAATCCCTATGAAAATGAATGGTAGCTGTCTCACCTGTTCCCCACCTTTCAAGCAAGTGGATTTTTTAAATGGACATGCAGCCACCCAGCTAAAGACTACACTTCCCAGCCCCCCTTGTAGCTAGGAGTTCACGGTTGGATATAAGGGGACAGAAGAGGTACAGCCCTCTGGGAGGAGGCAGCCCCTCCCATCCTCCCTGTGCCCTGCAGCTGGGAATGTAGAGGGCCCCCCTGGATTGGGCCAACATCGCAGGCACAGAAGCTGCCAAAGAAGAGCAGCTTGGGTCCCTGATGACTGCGTGGAACCAGCCACTAGACCAGCTCTGGACAAGCTCCCCATGGAGTGTGCCATGAGAAAGACAGAACACTATTTGATTTAGGGCTCTGCTCTTTTGCATCTCTGCGCCTGACTTTATACGATAACTAGCTCCCTGCCCCAGGGATCCCTGTTCATCGTTTTGGTTGTCCCGACTGGGGGTGGGGGCAAGTGTGACTGGGTAGAGACCCAAAGGTGCCCAACATCCTACAACATGCAGCACGGCCCCCAGACCGAGGATGACCTGGGCCAGGCCGGAATGCCCACGGGACTGCTGCCGAGAAGCCCTGCTCTGCCCCGAGGTCCAGTATTCCCACCTGTCATGTTTTCTGTGCGGACCCAGTGAGATGACAGGCACACGCCTACCTTCAGGAAAGACCACAGTCCCACAGAGATGCTCATGACGTCTTTTTATTGCCATAAGTTAAAAGGGAGAGAGTGAGGCAGGTTGCCGATCTGTGTCCACAAGGAGGCAACAATGCTCCCCCACACAGGAGGTGTGTTCAGGGTGGGGGGGTGCGGGACTGGGAGACCTGTCTCGGGAGAAAGGGCAGAGGGAGGGGGCGGGAGCTGCCGTGGGTGACCCCCAGACTGTCCACGGAGCTCACCCCACCCCCATACCTCCTGCCTGGGACCCCCGTGTCCCCTCTCACACATACATCTCCTCCCCTCCACTTGTGTGCCCACTTTCCCAAGACTCGCTTTCTCTCTCTCTCTTTCATACACATGCCTCCTTCCCCATGGTCTTGCCCCTCTATCAGCCCTCCACACACACCAATGCCAAGTCTGAGCCCAGGGCTGTGGGGCTGCTCTGGACCAAGCTGACCCCCCTCCAGACGGGACCCTTTCCTTGGGTCAGCTTGGAAGCCGGCCACCGGGAGCTGTGGGGTCAGTGCTTTTGGGTGGAGTAGGGATCTGAGTGTAACTGGGGACTGAGTGGGAAAATGGGAGACCTGGAGGCTCAGGACTCCAAGTGGAGGAAGGGACAGGAGTGCTAGGCAGCACAGAGGCACTGGGGGCCAGTGGGGGATGTCCCAAGGGCTGGGGAAGGTGGGCACAGGGTGAGCCAGCCTGATGTGGGGAGCCAGCCCTGGGCCAGCGGCAGCAACACCTCAAAGCACCCAGGTGCCTCATCTTTCCACAGGCAGGGTCTGCCCCACAGGCAGAGACGTCTGCTGGGAGGGACGGCCTGGAGGCCCAGAGGTCTCCAAGCCAGGTGGGGCTGGAGAGGGTGCCCGGCGCCCAACCCCCAGCCCAGAGCCTTCAGTTCAGACCTCTGGGCCTCCGAAGGCCAGGTTGTCACGGACCATCAGTGTCTTGCGGAGGTCACGGTCCACCACGGGGCGCTGCATACGCCACTTGTGTGCCTCCTGCAGGCCAGGCTCGAAGTAGTAGATGCAGGCGCCGAAGCCCACCAGGACGAGGACAGAGATGACCAGGTAGACGGGCACGAACCAGTCCAGGAAGTGCGGCATCGCGGAGGCCTCAGCTGCCGAGACAGAGGTGGTGAGGGCCAGCAGAGGTGACCCATGTGCCGCCCTCCAGCCCAGCAGGTCCACAGAGGTTCCCAGAGCCAGGGGGGTCCGAGCATCACTTTCTAGATGGGAAGCCCGAGCAAGAGCAGACTCCGGAGCAGGCCCGGCGCAGCCCCCATCGCAGGCGGCGCAGCCCCTCTCCAGCAGCACATTGCCTCGGGCAGGGCGCCTGACCTCTCCGGGCCTCCGCATCCTCCCTGGGGAAGGGGCCACGGGCAGAGCCTCCTGGGGATCAGCGAGGCGGCAGACCCCTCAGAGCGCTCGGTAAAGGGCAGTGCGGGCGGTGCCACCTCCGAGCCGTAGCAACTGCACAGTTTAGTGACAGAGGCTGCTGCTGCCAGTCCCCTCACAGATGGGTGGGTCCCCAGCCGCCCACACATCCTGGCCAGGTGTGGCCGGTGAAAGCGTGGCAACCAAACACCCGTCCCCAGGGGACCTGGTTGAAATCAATAGGGACGACAAAGGCTCCCAAATTCAGGCCCACGCCCGATGTCCCATTTATAGGACACAGGCACCAGCCCCCAAACTGGGGCCTCGGTTTCCACTTCTGTAAAATGGGAACAAAAATAGTGCCAAAGGTCGTAAGGCTGTTGTGACTGTTAAATGAATTAGTTGATGTGAAATGCTCAGAACCAGTGCCTGGCACAACACAAGTGCTATACAGTAGTTTGTTTTTATTTTCTGAGACTCGGTTTCCTTTTCTGTAAAATAGGGATCAAAGTAGGACCTACTTCTTAAGAATTTGGGGTGAGGAGCCCCCTCTGCCTGCCAGGAAGGGGGAAAACAACAGGCCTGCGGGGCGGGGGCAGCTGGCCCTGCGGGCGGGAACTGAGGCCCAGACGGGTCCACTCACCTGGCCTGGGAGCCAGACCCAAGCCCTGGTGACGTGCTGAGGTTCAAGTCCACCCGGGGGGTGGGGAAGACGCATGAGCAGGAGGCCACCTTGGCTTCCGGGGGGAAAGAAAGGGGCCAGATGGCATGACCCCCAGCTTCTGGGACATCTGTCTCCAAACTCCACCTCCTCTTATGCCCCTCCTTCCAGGGGGGTCTGCGAGGTGGGCAGTCACCCAGGTGCTGCTTGCCAGTCCTGTACCCCAGGGTCCCCACTTGCTCTTCTGAAGCACAGACATCTGAAGGTGCCCCAGCCCCGGAGGAGTAAGTTGAGGACCACTCTGGAGGCACGCACGCAGGGCAGCACAGCGCCCTCCTCTGCATCTGCCTTTCTGAAGCACCAAGGATAGAGTTCAGAATTGCCTGGTGCTGCCTGGGGTAAGTGGGGGGGGGGGGGGGGAACGACATCAGGAAGGGGGCCCCCAGGCAGAAAGGCTGCTCCAAACTCATCTGACAAAAGCCAAGGCGACTTGTCAGATGTCCCTAGCCCCAGCCAAGACCCCAGTCCCCTTTCGGCTTTAACATGAGAAAGGGCGGAGCAGAAGTTGTTTAGCTGCAATGTGTGGTCCATGAAGCAGAGTTCAGGGCCCCCACCCTCTCCGGCCCTATGGACAGAATCGCAGGCACTCAGGGGCAGACGGAGGACCCCTAGCCCTGTGCTGGGCTTCTTGGTGGACTGGCCTAGTTGGAGCAAATCACTCACTGGCCTTCTTTGTGACCTCGGGCCACTCCTCACCCTCTCTGGACCTCAGGCTTCCCCAGGCACAGTGACAGGGTTCGGGTGGGGGTTTATCCAGTGATCTGTAAGGAATTTTGCAGTCCCATTGCAGCCAAGGTCCCGTCCAGGACAGTGCACGGGTTGCAGAGCCACCAGCATCCCTCGGTCCCCCACCCACCGAGTGCTCGCAGACCCACCTCATGCCCTGCAGAGAGGCCTGGTCCAGGGCCCTGCGCTGAGCTCACCACCGCAGCCTGAGCACCTCAGCAGTTCAGCATTGGCCCGTGGACTCAGTCACAGCTGCTGTCCCCACAGACACTGCCATCTGCAGGTCCTGGTGCTGGAGGCAGAGGAAGGGTGAGGCCAATGCCCCCCACGGGAGACAGAGCTTCTCAGGCCCGGAGCTTCTGGCTGGGCCAGAAGAGAACGGTCCTGGACTGCTTCGGCACCCTGGTACCTCTCCCTGCCCATGGGAGACCCTTCTCTTGCCCCCCACCCTCAGGATGGCAGGAGGCGGGACCTGTCTCAGCCAATCAGTAGCCTGGTAGAGCAAGGGCTTTATCCTCCGTTGCCCTGGCAACCATCCCTTTCTTCTGGATCCCTGGCACTATGCACGCGGTACAGTGATGACAGACAGGGAGGGTGTGGGGGAGTCTGAAAAGCAGTGGGAGCCATCCACCGGGCAGGTCACTCAGCCCCAGAGCTGGAGGACCTGGAGAGGAGGGGACCCGACTGGGACACATGGGAAGGTTTGGAGGCTTGCCAGTTGAGAATAGGGAGAGACTAGGGTCCCTGGCAAGTGGGTGAGGACACGAGCAGTTACCAGTAGAGCCAATGAGGGCCATGTGTCAGGGGAACGAAGATGGAGACCGAGAGTCTGGACACAGGGCCCAATGTTGCTTTCGTCACGGGCCAGACCCTGTTTTCAGGGCTTTATTTACATTAACTCGTTTATTCGTCACACAGCAAGAAAGTGACGATGCCAGGCTCTGAGCCCTGATCCCGCTCCTGAGCGGCGGCTGCCCCTCCCTGTTCACCTCGCCAGCCCCACCAGCCCCCTGGCTGGGATATGGCCTAAGATAGTGGTGGGTCCCGGACCCTGAGCACCCCCATATGCCAGGCATGGCCCCCCATATTTGTCCTCCAACTTGGTGGGTGTCACGAGGCCATTGTGGGATGAGGCAGCTGCAGCTCAGAGAGGTAAAGCTGCCTACCTTCTAGGTCACTTGGCTTCACAGTGACAATGCTAGGGAGGGGGTGGGGTGGGACAGCCTCCCAAGCCTGGGTCCTCCTTCCTGAGTTATAGACAAAGTGTCTGCAAAGTGGGTGCCTGGCAAGTGCTCCTTAAACCGCAGTGGCTTTTGTCTCAGGAGAGAGCAGCCCCAGAGGCCCACAGGGTGGAGAAGAGGCTGTCCCCAAGTTCATTTCCAAACACCTGAGGACAGGCAGGTGGGAAAGGCTGTGAGCGAGATGACTTCAGCACGCAGGGCCCCCCACCCTGCCACCTCTGGGCCCCCGCAGGGGTGCGGGGCCCTCTCCAGCATATGCAGGGCAAGGAGAGGGAGTCAGACCACACAGAGGGCTTTCCAGTGAGACGCATGGCACATACATGGAAATACATATCTCAAGGCATGAGTTTTTACCTGTGCATACACCTGTGCGACCACCACCCAGGTCGACATCTAAGGTATTTCCGTCACCCCAGTTTCCTCCTGCCTGAGCCAGTCAACCTCCCCAAAGGGACTCACTGCCCCGATTTCTATCACCATAGATTCGTTCTGCCTGTATCTGTATTTCCCATCAACGGGATCACACAGCCGCATCCTTTTCATGGCTCGCGGCTCAGCACACTGCTTTTGCTATTCACTGACGCTGCGTGTATCGGTGCACCGTGTCCTGTTTGTCCCTCCACCACTGAAGGACGTTCGGGTTGTTTCCAGCACTGGGCTATTGTGACCGAAGCTGCCAAAGTGCTTTTCCCCAGTTTGGAGTAGGAGGGCAGAGAGGAGACGGGGGGAGGAACTCTGGGGCGGGGGGGGAATGGGTTTGTTCATTCTCCTAATTGAGGTGGTGGCTTTTGAGATGCACACATATGTCGTAGCTTATCAAACTGTATGCTTTAAATATGTGTAGCTTATTATAAGTCAACTATACTCTAATAAATCTGTAAAAAAAATGTGATCAGTGGCCTTTAGACATTGTTTTAACCCACGATTCTTTATTCACACAAAAGCTTATGGGAAGCTCAGTGGCCAGAGCTGCTTTGTTAAACAGAGGGATGGGGTTTCTGGACCCCAGCCTCGCAGCTTCCCCCTGCCCCTCACGGTACCCCAGGGACATCTCCCCAGGGCCCCACAGAAGGCCCAGAGGGTCTCTGAGCCCTGCCAGCTCACGGTGTCCTTGCCACGAAACCTCCAGTCCTGGGTCCGGCCTTCCTGCCAATCTCCTCCTTTCCTCTCACTCTGGACCCTAAACACAGCTATTTGCTGTGGCATCGGTCCACGTGACAAGCACCCAATCACCTGACAGCTAAGCCAACAATCACCTCCCCACTGCAGTGTCCCACGCGCTCCCAAGGGGTCCTTCATGCATCTTTGCTGGGCCCCTGCTGCTCCAGGCGGCTGTCACCCACTGTGCTGCGTTTGGTTGTCGCCATCCGCTCAACCACCATGGACAGCTCCCTGGAGCTGGGGTCACTTGCTCAGCGCCAGGCCTGGCCCCCTGGCAGGCACTCAGCACAAGCTGGCTGAGTGGCTCGGCTCAGTCCCTCCTAGGAAGGGATGACCAGGGTCCGAAGCTTTTCCATGACTCTCGAAGGGCCTCAGTCACCTGGCCCCCAGTCACCTCTGTGGCTTTGTCGCCTCCCACTCTCCTCTCCAACTGCAGTAGCCACGGGCCTCCTTGCAGTTCCTCCAAAGAGTCAGGAATGCTCCCCTGGGGGTCTCAGCACCTTGTTCCAAGGCCTCCCCTGACCTGAAGTAGCTTCTTCCTACTCACCTCTATGTATTTCCTCACCTGCCTTACTTTATTTCCGTGGTACTCATCCCCACCTGACTTCCAGGGAGTCCCCCCCACACCCTTGCCATTGGGGAATCAAAGGCCCATCTGTGCTGGGGCAGGGGTTCTATGAAGCCATTTACTTCCAGCTCTTTCAAAGCAAGATAGTCAATCTGTGGTGACACAGATTTAGGTGAAATGGGGAGTCTGCCTCCGCTTTCCCAGAGACCACTGCAGTGAGGACACTGAGTGATCTCAGTCTGACTTCCCCAACACACCGAGCCAACCCATAATGTCTGCTTCATCCATGCTCTCAGTGCGGAGCACTGGGTCTGCCCTTCAAAATAGTGACTAAATCAATCACTGCTGGGAATGAGTGGGTGAATAAATGTAATGAACGAATAAAAAGCAATCCATTCATTCAACAACTATTTATGGAGCAACTACCATGTGCCCAACGCTTTTTAAGGTGATGAGCATAAAAACTGGCCCAGTCTCTGCCCTCAGTATTTGGCACTCTAGCTGGAAAGGTAAGGAACAAGTAGTTTTATAACTGCTGGAAGAAGCCAACAGCCATGGCCCCTGAGCACCCCTGGGTATCCTAAGAAAGCAAGACCCTGAGAGCTCCTTACCAAGGCCATTTCTCAGGGCGGTGATGGCAGCCAACAACCTTGAGGAGTGACGTAACAGCTCTCGGGGACAAAGAACAGGACAGGAGAACTAGCACGAACCAACACGAAGCCCTAGCTATTGGTTTTACCGAAAGTAATAAGGTCCTTTGTCTCTTACCAAGGTGCTTCATGGCTTCTGCCAGCATCTGTGAGATAGTAACAGACTATTACAAAACAGCGATAAACTGTTTATTGGTTTGGAAAAACAGTAAAATCTCAGAGGCTGAACGGTTCTTGATGATGTGTTAAGTGGAGGTTAGAGCTATTGAGAAACTAGAGCAGAAAAAGGGAGATAAGGAGAATGGAGGGCTTGCTATTTTAGATAGGTTATTAGGAAAGGCCACTGTGAGGGCAACATTGGAGCAGAAACAGGAATAAGTGAGGAAATGAGCCACATGATATCTGGCAGTAGAGCATGTCAGCCAGAGGCAGCCACAGGCGCAAATGTCCTGAGGTGGGGGGATACGTTGATATTTGAGGGGCGGCCAAATGGCCCATGTGGCTAGAGGAGACGTAGAAGAGAGGAGCAGAAGATGAGGTCGGGGAGACTGCTGGGGGACCAGAACACGCTGAGCTTCAAAAGCCAAGTGAATTGCTTGTGATGTACTTAGAGATGGGAACTGCTGGTGGTTTGTGGTTTTTCTAAAGATTTTATTTATTTTCAGACAGAGGGAAAGGGAGAAAGAAAGGGAGAGGAATATCAGTGTGTGATTGCCTCTCGCAGGCCCTCAACTGGGGACCTGGCCAGCAACCCAGACATGTGCTCTGATTGTGAATGAAACCAGAGATCCTTTGGTTAGCAGGCTGGCACTCAATCCACTGAGCCAGACCAGCCGGGGCTGCTGGTGGGTTTTGATCAGAGATGTGGCCTGTTCCGATTTCTGTGTTGAAAGAATGGCTTTAATTGCTGTGTGGGGAATAGCCAGTAGCCCTGGGGACCAGGGTGCAAACCGGGAGTCAGGGAGAAGGCCGTTGTAGTAGTTCCCGGGGGGTGGGGGGGGGGGTGGCAATGGCTTGTCCTGGTGGTAGTGGAGGAAGTGGAGGAGGCAGTGGGAAGTGGTCAGCTTCTGGATGCATGTTAAGATTAGAACCCATAGGCTTGCTTAAGAGCTGGTTGTGAGTTGAGAAGAGCCAAAAACGACCCCAGGGTTTTGTTCTGAACAGCTGCAAGGTTGGAGTCAACTGAGATAGGGAAGATGGGGAAGGGGCAGGTTTGGAAAGAATCGGGAGTAAGGTGAATGAGCAGAAATGAACGAATGAATCATTGACTACCTTCTTTCTCTGAGGCGTGAAATAGAAGGCCTGTCCCATGGGCATCGCCTTCGAAGTCTGAGGCCAGCGCTGGAACACCGGCTCAGAAAAGGAGGTAGCATTTCCTTTAAGAGGGCTCCGCCCCGCTCTGCGAAACCCCGCCCAGGGGAGTCACGTGACCCTCGGGGAGCACCAGGGCGGGCCTGCAGCGCTGTTTGAAAGGAAGCCCCGCGCCGCCTGAGTGAGGATTTGGTCTGCGCCTGGGATGGCGGTGTTGCGGCCTCAAGACCAGCTGCCTGGCCTCAACACGGCCACCATATTGGTAGGCGTCGGCAGCCCGACTTCCGCCGCCCACCTTCCCTCCGGGGCTGTGCTTCAGCTACACGGTGCCCTGCGCTTTCAGGGGTGCTGGCGCGCGGTTCTGGAAGGGGTGGTGGGCGGGATAGCCACATTCTGAACCAATCGGAGTAGCCTCTCTCTGAGGCTGAGGTCGCCAATAGGTGCGCATCGGGCTCTTTTCCTGTTTGTGATTGGTTTCTGGCTTGGGGAGGCTGCGTGCCGGGTAGGTAGCTAAGTGGCTGAGATCCGCGCCGGGCAGGGACTTAGCTTTCCCTGGTTGCGGAATGGTCTGGCAGTCCGAGGGAAGGTCTGGAAGGCAGCGAGTGCTGTGCCAGCAAGACCCGAGGGTCGCAAACCTCAGGCCTTCCACCCGTGCCTATCAGAGTCCTTGTTCGGTAAATAGCGCCCTGCGCGCTGGAGCCAGAATCCTGGGAGTCGCGGCCGCCTTCGGTCCTTGCCCAGATCCCCATGGCCTCCAGAGGAACTGCTGCGTCCAGGTACCAATCGGCCGCCTTCTCTCTCTGGGCAGCTGGTGGGCACGGAGGATGCTCTTCTGCAGCAGCTGGCCGATTCGATGCTCAAGGAGGACTGCACCTCTGACCTGAAGGTGTAAGTAGTTGAGGCTGGAGTTGTCCGATCGCTCAGCTGTGGTCTGGGCGCGAGGGAGAGCGGAGGAGCCGCTCGAGGCTGGTGAAGGTGCGAAGGTGGAGCAGGTTGGCCAACCCCTTAACCATCCTTAACGCGTGGTCTGCCCTCCCTAACCCTGCGGGCGTCTGGCAGCACGCCATCCAAGGTGTCCTCTGTCACTCTCCCGCCACATACTTGTTCTCTTCCATCCAAGGTATCCTGTCACTCTCCCGCCACATACTTGTTCTCTTCCTCTAAGACTTGTCACCTCGAGAACTTTCTTTATTCACCTGTTCTCTTACGTGTTTCCAATCCACCACCCCAAGATCAGCCTCTTGAGGCCAGGGCTTTGGCTTTTGTTCCATGGTGAATCCCCAGTGCCTTGAGCAGCACCTGACACAGCATAGATGTATCCCCCGAATTTGGAGGAAAAGTGACTAAGGAAAGTATATTTTGTTTTCCTTCTAAACTGGTGGGAAGTAGAAACAGCTACTGATGGAGTCAACTGCTGTATGTGTGTGGGTGGCTTCTGCCGTGATAGAGGGATAAACTTCTAGGGCCGTGTTGAAGGAGGACAATCCAAATCTAAAGGGCATTTCCTCCGTGGGAACTGGAAATGCGCCTTACTAGGTAGATTAAATCCTGTAACAGCACCTGCACAAATCTCTGATGAAAGATTGTCCATTAATCTATCTGCCGTATGCATCGTGCGGCTCTTAGGCCACAGAACATCAAACACAATCAACTGTCTCAAACCCATGACTTAGAAATAGGAAAGAATATTTTTTTAATAATTCATTCAGCCCTGGCTGGTGTAGCTCAGTGGATTGAGCACAGGCCTATGAACCAAAGGATCTCAGTTCAATTCCCAGTCAGGGCACATGCCTGGGTTGCAGGCCAGTTCCCAGCATGGTATGCACGAGAGGCAACCATACATTGATATTTCTCTCTCTCTCTCCTTCCCTTCCCCTCTAAAAATAAATAAAATCTTTTAAAAAATAAAATAATTCATTCAGTTAGCAACAAGGTGAATGGGAAATGTGAACAAATTCTTTCCGCCTACATTGAGCAAGGTGGAAAGAAGTGTCATGGAAACCCGTGCTGAAAAAGGGCAAGGTAGTGACCTGCTGAAATCTGATGAAGAGCCCACTCCGGAAAAAGAAGAAAGCTCCTTCTTGAGTGTTTTGTGCTGTTGAGAAATGTAATAAGAACCTGAATATTTTAAAAAAGATTTTACTTATTTTTAGGGAGAGGGGAAGGGAGGGAGAGAAACATCCATCGGTTGCTTCTTGTGACCAGGGACTGAACCCGAAACCCAGGCATGTGCCCTGATCATGAATCAGACTGGCTTTGCTGGATGACGCTCAACCAAATGAGCCACACCGGTCAGGGAAGGAAACTGAAATTTTAAGAGGCATTCAAAGACCAAATGATAGAACAAATGAGTGACAGAAAAAGGGAAGTTGCAGAGCTAAGGGCAAAAATGGGCCAAAAATAATACAATACACAATCTACAAATAGAAACAGCAACATCAGAGTTGATGTAGTTCAGCACTTAATTATTTACAAAGAAGAGAGATTTGAGAACATCACAAAAATGTTTAAAGTTGTTTTAGAAGAAAACTTCCTGAAATGAGTAAAGAGTTTAATTTTTCTATTGTATGGGGACTGTACACCTTATTCCAGGAAAAATGGACACAGAACACTTTATGCCAAGGTAAGTTACTGAACTTCAAGGGTAAATGATTCTTCATATGGTCACCGGGTCCTTCCGTTGCCACATATTTGCAGCTTCTGCATTTGGAGCACATAACTGTAACCAGATCGCGCCTTTTGACCTTTTTTGGGTTTGTGGAGCCAAGTGACTAGTTCCGGCCAATGAGTTCTAAGCAGAAAAATGATCATCTCTTTTTTGGTGAGCTATTTATTTGACATTGAGACGTCCTCAGGGCCCTTTGCCCCTCCCATGGTGACAAGCAGTGTTCCAGAGAGGCAGCCTCATCGGTCTAGGCCCAAGGTTATAGTCAGAGCAAAATGTAAATATATATAGTAATAACAACAGTAATAATATGTCTTGTCCAAATGGTAGGGGAAGATAGAAGAATGTTAATTTTCTCATTTTTTATAATAGAAAATCAACGCAATTCAGATAAAATTCAAATGTGTGGTTTTAAATGATACCAATTTACTAATTTTTTCATAGTTTTTTCTTAATTGGGTCCTTTCAGGAAACAGTCTCCGTAGTTAAAAAATTATTTATCCAAGTTCATCTATTTTTTTTAGTTCTACTTTGTTTTGATTTCATTAAATGCAAATAAAATTAAATAATACTGTTGTCCTATTTTAGAGTATATCTATTCCAGTGTCTGAGTGTGTATAGTATGTTACATATATGAACATGATGTTGCATACATGTTGAGCAAAATGCTCTAATGTTAATTAATACTAGCAATTAAACATTCATATTTTTTGTACTTTTGGGTGTTTCCTGAATGGTAGGATGCTGGGTGGGAGGAGATGAGTAACAGGAATATGTGGAAATGGGCAGAGGTAGAGGGTTCACGAAAAACCTTCAGTGGGTATTTGACAACCAGAGACCAAGTCCCAACGAGAAGGACGGGGGCAGTGTGTCCAAGACCACACAGCTGCTGATCAGCAGAACTAGAATTTGAGCCACTTCTGTCACACTCTCAAGGAGTTCAGCCTTAACCTAAACTTCACAGTCAACACCCCGTCCTCTGAGCCTGGTGCCCCTCGCAGCAGTGTGGCTTGCTGGCCTCGCACGACCCTCCATCCAAAACTCCCTCTGGCGAGGCAGTTACTAAACAGCTCCTTTCTGGCACAGGAGCCGGAAGAAAGCGGTCTGGGTAGGACTGGCTCTGCCCTGCCCTGTGCTCCCCCGAGGGGTCTCCCCAGGAGGGTGGCAGGTGCATAGGTGATGTGCCTTTGACACAGCACGTGAGGGGTCACAGGAATGTCCTGCAATGTCTTTTTTAGCCACTTGGCACAGTCCCTCCCTCTGCCTTCCAATGTGACTCGCCCCCGAATTGACCTGATTGTGTTCGTGATCAACCTTCACAGCAAATACAGGTGAGAGCCAGCGGCTGGGGCTGTCGGGGCCCAGGTGGACCTGGCAGAGGCACCTACTGGGACAGCGACTCCGCTTTTGATGGGGATAGGAGAGGCAGGGAGGGGCTGCCTGGGGAGCCAGTGGCCAGCGAAGCGTGTTTAGAAGACACTGATACATCCCAGCAGTGTTACTGTCCCTTAGCTGAGGCTCTCTGGTGTCCGCCCTGCATCCCTGACGGCAGGCCAGTGACGAATGGCACACACCCCTGTCCTTCAGGAGCTCCTAGGCCCTTGGCTGGACTTTTGAATGCTGGTGAAGCCCAAATGACCTCTGACTCTCAGGACTTAGTCAGGGTAGACTTTGTGACACCTGAAAGGTGAGAAGGAAGGAGTTAGCCAAACAAAGCTGGGAGTGTTTAAACAAGGTGCTGGGTTTAAATACGGCACCTGATGGAAGGCCACTCGGCGATGCCTGCGTGCATTTTTAAAGGACGCGTGCTGTGCCCGCCAGGCTACTGCCCTACAGACACGTTCTCTTGGACGTGTCAGGATATGTGTGAGCAGGTGCTCCTGCAGCATCTCTGTGCCAAGGAGGACGTGGGGACCATGGGAACCTCGAGTCACTGGGAAACAGGGTGGCACTGTGGTCGTGCCAAACAGTGAGACAGATGTGGCACACCCAGCAAAATGCTTGTACCTGTCCCTGTCTGTATTTGCATGTGAAACGTTCCCAAAGAATCACACCCTAAATGTGGGCAGCAGCTCCCTCCGACCCTGGGGTGTTGGAACTGAAGGGCAGGCCGGCGAGGGAGGCGGTACTTTCTCGCCCACATCACGATTCTACAGGCTGGAGTCACCTCGTAATTAAAAGCTGACAATGAAAGGACAAACTATTGCTGTGGGGAAGTTTCCTGTCACCCGCCTCTCATTCCCTGGCCTCTGGGATGAGCCGGGGCTTCTGGGTTCGTCATTGTAAGGCTTGTCCTCTGATTTCTCTCCCTGGTCTGGCCGCCACAGCCTTCAGAATGTGGAGGAGTCTCTGCGCCACGTGGATGCCACCTTCTTCCTGGGGAAGGTGGGCTTCCTCGCCACAGGCGGTAAGTGCACCCCTCGCCCGCCACTGCCCATGTGCATGGAGGGCAGCGCCCCCCTGCCCCCCTCCAAGGGCAGCTGGCGTTAGGGTAGACTCCTGGCTCAGGAGGCCTGGCTGAGGGAGAGAACACAGGCTTCGGAATCTGACCTGCTGTCGGTCTTTCTAAAAGCACAACCTGAGCAGGGCATTCCGCCGAGCTAAGTCTGCTGAGAGTGTAGCTCAGAGTCGCCTGGTCGTTCTAGGGTAAAACCCAAACTCCTGGAAAGGCGCCGCGTGTTTGCAGCTGCCTCCCTGCCCGGCCTGGCCTCCTGATGCTCTCTCATTCCCTGGTTCAGCCTCCAGTTCTCTGAGCAGGCCCTGCTGCCTCTGCAACTTTGCATTATTAACAGCGGAAATAATGATAGCTGACCTCCACTGAGTGCTCACTGTACACCAGACACTGTTCTAAGTGCCTTGATTCTGTGTCACTAATCTTTGCCACAAGCACCCCTGTGAAGTAGGAGTGGCTATCTCTGGTATAGCCAAGGAAACTGGTTAAGTACCTTGCCCAAGGCCCCACAGCGAGAAAGTGTGGTGGAGCTGCGAGTCGGACCTAGGTAGTCATGTTCCTGAGCCATGTGGCTTCTCTCTCACTCTCTGCCTCTTCCGTCCAGCTAACCCCCTTTTTCTGTGTCCCGGGGGAAGCCCCCCCGCCCAGCCCTGCAGTCTAGGCCCTCGGGCACCCACCTGCCCTGCCCCCACGCAGAGCTGCGAGCTCCTTTCGGGAAGGGCCTGGTGCAGATTATTGTCAAAAAGCATCGGTGAATAAAGGAAGCCAGGTCGCTGAGCGAACTCACTCCGTGGGGCTCGGCTCTCACAACCCTCATTTTATAGAAGAGGGGACCACGTTTCCTAGCGTTCGTGCTCAAAGCCCTTTCGGCTTTCTTGTCTAATTTGATGACCTTGGGCCTGAAGAGAAGGTGGGACAGGATAGTCTACCCCCACCACCAACCAGAACCTGGGGCCGGAGAGGGAGGGGACCCGCCTTGCCCAGGGCACCCTGTTTGCAGCCAAGCAGCTGGAGGTTACAGCTGTGGCACTTGCGCCTTCTTTGCAGCTGGGCGGGACAGCCACTGCAGCGTCCACCGGAACACCGTGCTGAGGCTGGCCCAAGCCTACCGGAGCCCCCTGCTCTTCTGCGACCTGGAGGTGAGGACTGCACGCGGGCGCGGGGAAAGGGCAGTTTGAGCGCAGTGAGCTTGCAGGACTGCTCCTTGGAGGAGCCCCCGGTGCTGAGGGAGGGGTCCTGATGTGCAGGCACAGGGTCCCGGTTTGAATCCTGGCTTGTCCGCCCCCTGGCTGTGATTTGGGTTGGCCACCCTAAGCCGCGGGGACACAAATGTGAAGTGAAGCGATGACGTTCATTCATCTTGAGTGACTCTTATGTGCCAGGTGGTCCCTTGTTACCTTGCTTTTATTTTTGTTGTGTTTTCTGCACTCATAACTGAGCCGTGGGTGTTTATCTGTGGGTGCCTGTGAATGCCTCCCTCTCCTACGAGGGGTAAGTGCTGTGGGGCCAGGCCCCTGGTCTGTCTTGTTAGCCGGTACATCCCCCAGTGCCCTGGCCGTTGGAATGTCCCGCACCCCCTCACCTCTCTGATTGCAGACCTTGTCCACTCCCAGCCCGGGGCAGGGGACGGTGGGCGGGTGGGCAGATGTTGGAGGGACGCCTTGGGTGTTGGTTCTGCCCTGACTCTAGTGGCGTTTCTCTCAAGGTGATCTCAAGGTGAGCCCTAGTCATGGGCGGTACCAAGCAGATTTCTGCTGTCTTTTTTTTTCTCTCTTCAGCCTCTCTTTCTGCAGTAGAAATCCTGGTGGCCTTTTGGGAGGTTTGCTGAGGCCCCCAGGGCCTGGGCTGCCCAGGTGGTTTGAGGGTCTGTTTATTGGCTTTGAAGGTTCATTTAGAAGACTTGTGATTCTGGTCTGCTCTGCTTCTTGCACCCTTCCCCCAGGGCAAAGTGATGTAATGCAGAGGGAACTGAGTCAGCGTGCGGTCCTTCATCGCTGTTTGGATCAGGGGTTCTTAGTCCTGGGCCTGTGGAGCCCTCTGATCTGAGAGGAGAATCCAGGCATCTGTGAACTTGGGCGAGACAGCAGTTGCTTCTTTTATCTCACTAACATCTAAGTGAAATTTAGCATTATGAGCACAGGCAAGAGATGTCAGTAGTAGTAGCAGAATCTGACTGTTGCCGTCAGAAGTGGCAGGTGCACAGGGGTGCCAGCTAACCTTGTGGCGGAGGTGCAGTTCTGTGTGTGGCCAGTGGGTGGCAGGCCACACCAGGTCCTGCCTTACCCTGGGGCCTGAGCCCTGGAAAAAAGGCGTGTTGCCCCACTGCCCTCCACCTCCAGCCAGCAGCAGGCTTGCTGAGACCCCGTCCCTCAGAGGACACAGGCAGTGTTTAGACAGTCATCACTCCTCGCTCTCTCGGTGTCCTTTTCAGAGCAGACTCCATGTGATCAAGTTTGGGCCACACCGTATTTTGAGGCCTTTGGGTGGCAACAGTTATGGCCCCATTTTACACAAGAGGAACCCACTCTGAGGTGTGGGATTCTCCCAGTGAACCCGTTCCCTCGCTCTGCCAACAGGGCTGTGAGCCGGTCCCTGAGAACACAGATGCGCCAGGCGTTGGCTCTGCCCTCTCAGAGCCTGGTGAGCTTGGCCAGCTCATTACTTACTCAACAGAGAAGAGCTTGCTGAGTTTCTGAAGCCTGGGGGCGGGGGGGGGCGGGGGAGGGGACTGATTCCTTCCTTTCTGTGGGTGACAGAGGTGGTGGGGATTGGTCCAACTTGGGTTTGGGGGCTATGACTGGAGCACGGTGTGTACAGTGGGCTTGGCCGGAGGCAGGAGGCCGGCTGTGGGGCCGAGTGAGACCGGCAGCTTGCAGGTGTATTTCCGAGTGAGAGGGTTTATTCAACAGTTTCTTACATGTCTGCAGAGTGCCGAGCACTCTAGGCACCAGGGACGCATCACAGAACAAAACAGTAAAAAAACCCCGGTTCCATTCTAGTGCAGAAAGCAGGCGTGGAGTGCGTTAGAGAGTAGGGGGTGACACGGCAGGTGTTGCTAAGGTGATGAGATTTAGGTGGGGTGACGGGGAGGGGGTTCACTGGACAGCGGCCTGTAAGCAAAGACAGGCAGGCCGTGGAGGCTCCTGCGAGGAAAGCACTCGTGGCGGGAGGAACAGCAGGTTCGAAGGCCCTGAGTTCGGGACTTGCCTTGTGTTCAAGGTCCCAGGGGGGTGTGGGTGGCCAGGGCAGAGCGAACAAGGGGCAGAGCAGCGGGAGGTGAGTCAGAGTGACAGTGTGGCCAGGTTGGCAGGGCCTTGTGGGGGCATAGGAAAGGCCGGGACTTTTACTCTCAGCAAAACTGGAGCCGCCGCAGGGTGTGGGGCCAGGGAGAGATGTGGTTGCACTTGGGTTTCAGCTGGGTCCCTGCAGCTGTTGAGAGGAGAGTGGACTGAGGGGACGCAAGGTTGGATGGAGACGGGCCCGGGGGCTGTTTCTGGAAGAGTTGGCAGTGGCCTGGACTTGGTGGCATCTGGGGAAAAGGGCCCGGGGTGGGGCCAGTAGACCGTGCTGGTGGCCTGGGCGTCAGGTGTGAGTAGGAAGAGTCGGGGACGACTCTGGAGCTTTCGGCCTTTGGTTGAGATGGAGCCCCCCGGGGGCTCTGCGCTGGACAAGGTGAAGGTGTCTCTTAGTGGTCTGCACAGAAACTGAGTGGGCAGCTGACATGTGTGTGTGGCATTCAGAGGAATGGTCTGGAGATGTCATCTGGGATTGAGATGGTGTTAGGGACGTGGCACTGGATGAGGCCACCTAGGGACTGGGTGTGGGGCGAAGAAATGCAAAGGCCAGGCCCTGGGGCCCCGCATTTAGACTTTGGACCAAGAGAAGGGAGCAGCCTGTGCAGGGGGAGTCACCTAGGTGACTCTAGGTGGGGCCCTGGAGCACGGGAGAAAAAGCAGCTGGTGGGGGTGGCAGGGGACGGCACGGGGGCTGCGTGGGATTCTACCAGAGTCTCGGTGAGAGCCAGGCTGGTGCTGTGAGGACCGAGGCTCTGCCTCTGGGTTTAGGACCGGGGAAATGACAAGTGACAGACATGGGGAGCAGGAGGACTTGAGGATGCCTTGCTCTCTAGTTTGAGTCACTGGGTGGACGGTTAGAGAGGCATCAGAGGAAGGGGAGATGCTTCGGAGGCCACGGTCAGGCGGCTGGGGGAGGACATCTGAACGTCCGTCCCTCTGCTTGTCTACAACTGTGGAGCGCTGGGCCCTGGGACACTCACCCACAGAAGCCCGAGAAAGGGGCTCTTTGCTGGCGGCGTGTCCCTGTCCCGGGGAGGGCACTCTCGGTCCACCCCTCCGCCCCATCCCTGTGAGCGTCTTTCTCAGACCCAGGTAAGGGAGCTTCAGGGGCTCTGACCCTGGGCGGTGGTCGGGACTGGCCCCTGGTTGAGACCCCACCTCTGTGGTCACTGAGCGCGACTCTGGGCAGTTTGCCTACCGCCCCGGCCCCGAGGTTGAGCACTTGTTTCCTCTGGAACAGGGCTCACCGTCTCTGGTGTCCCTGGAGGGCGTTGGAAGGACTCGGAAGCTGCCCGGAGAGGTATGTGTGCCGTGGCCGAGGGCACGGCCGTGATGGGCAGTGGTGCGCCAGTCTGCCCCCGCGGGCGGTGTGTGGCTGCTCTGACCCTGTCCTCTGCTCCTCCCCACAGGTGGAGAGCTTTCGAGTCACCGTGGCGCAGCGCCTGGTCCGCATGCTGCAGATCTGCGCCGGCCACGTGCCCGGCGTGTCGGCCCTGAACCTGCTGTCCCTGATGAGCAGCTCCGAGGACCCCTTTGTGGAGGGCCTGTGACGTGGCCCTGGGCCAGCGGGCCACTTCCCTTTGGGACCCGACTCTGCGCCAGCAGGGAGTGCCGTCGGGGAGCCTAGCGGTGGGACCAGCCCCCCTCCCACCCGCACAACCCCACTCACTCACTCACTCGGCTTTGTCCATCGAATATGGTTCATCTCCACTCAGGACTTCCTGTGAATGGGGAGTCTGTGGCCAAAAACAGTTTAAAAGCCCTTGGTGTCATCCACCGCTTCCGTGCTGCAGATGAACTAACTCAGAACCATTAAGAGCAGGTGCGGGCGGGGCAGCTTGGCCTCTGCAAGCCCAGTTCGCCTGCACAGCTGGGCCTTGCTGTTCTTAGAGCCCCTGGTTGTTGCCTCTCGGAGCCTCAGTTTCCCTGGGAGGTCCTGGAGCTCGTGCTCCCTTTTTGCACCGTGGGGACTGCACCGAACCACAACAGGGAAGGCCCGAGCTGGCGTCTGCCCACCCTGTGCTCGGCCCGCGCTGATATGTTTCTTAATAAACTGTTCCTACCAGGCGAGCACTCAATGAACAGTGACTTGCTGGAAATCACAGAGCTAAGTTCCGAAACTGGTGCAAATCCAGGACTTCACGTTGGACTCCTCAGTTCGTGAGAATGAACTGAGGGTTGGCGGCTGGAGGCTTCGGGTGACTTGCACCCCTTCTCCCTGGGGTCTGACTGGAACCTGAAAATCCTACCAGCAGGCTGGGGCTCCTGCCCTGCCCTGTGGCTGCCGCATCCAGGGGAGCAAGGGAGTGAGTGGGAGGGCTGGTGGAAGAGAACCAGGTCCTGGCTCCCTTGGAGCAGGGCCGCAGCCCCTGGAGCTCACCCTGCTAGTGCCAAGGCCTGCCCTCCACCCCCAGGCGTCAGGAGGGCCCGGCCAGGTGCCTTGGGCAGTGCGGACACCTGATTCTCACTGGCGTGCGGGTCAGCTGCAACTCCTTACAGACGCTGGGGCCTCCTCCCAGAACCCAGCCTGGCGCCCCACCCCCAGCACTCAGGTTCCCCAGCACCTGACTGTCTGCGGGGCAGCCTCGCAGGCCCACCGAGCACCTCAGCTGCGTAGGTTTCGGTTGAGGCCCCAAATGTCACTGGACATTTGGCAGGGCCCTTCACGCTCCACAGAGCTTTTCTCACACGGTCGCTCCTGTCGCCTCCCAGCAGACCTGTGAGGTTGACGTTCCTCATTTCACAGCTAATGAAACCGAGACTTGTAGTCAGAGGCGTGTCCATAGTCGGAGCTGAGCAGCAGCGGAGCTGGCCTCCAGCCGCAACCCTCGGCTTTTCCTCCGGTTGTTCTCTTAGGCGGCTAATTGTTGAACAGAGGCTTTGGCTTTGGCTGGGCAGGCCCTGAACAGGGGACACGGTGGCGGAGGTGGCGGAGCTCGGGCCTCCTGCCTGAGAAAGCAGCCACTGCCTCCTGCTGGGAACCTGTCCCACGGGGCCTGGGGGCAGGGGCGCTTCACAAAGGAGAGGGCAGTGAGCAGGGGAGGAGGGCTGGCCCACCCCAGGGAGGAAGGCAGTGCCGACCCAGCCACTGTCCTTTCTGGGCATGTCACTTTTTGCTGGAGACAAAAGGAGGTCCTCCCAGTACCCCCGACCACCAGCGCCTCAGCCAGCAGAGGCGCGCTTCCCCCTCCAGCCCCTGTGCCGATTTTTCTTTGCTGCCTGGTACCATTTAACAAGAGAAGTGGCGTCGCATCTCCTGCCAAGGACCTGGAAGCCATTCCAACTGCTTGGGGACACGACACTGTCCCTGCTGCCAGCTCCAGCGAGCTTGGCGGGTCCTGGGACAAAGAGGCCCCTGCCTGCCGGCAGCACAGCTGCTTCGCACTGTCCCGAGGCCAGTCTTTATGCGCAACGGTGCCCAGAACTGGTGCTTGGCGCTGTGGAGGGAGAAAGGAGCGCCAGTGCTGGGCTGCTCACCGACCTGGTGACCTTAGGCAGATCACTTGTCCTCGTGAGCCTCAGTTTCTTCATCTGTAGAATGGGGTCAGGCTAACTAATGCCTTCCTCTCCAGCTGGTTGGGAGGACTGAGGATGAGAAGCCGTTTTAAACAAAGTTTGAAACAAACGTTAAGACCTCTCAGCTGTTACTGCAGCCGGAGTGGCAGCCTGAGGCTCCTGCAAGAGCCGCCCTCCACTGGGCCTGGAAGCTGCTGGGTCCGTGCCCTCTGAGCTGGAAGGAGGGAGGCGTTCGGCCCCTGCTGCGTGGTTCAGGCATTCAAGACTCGGGGGCAGGGCTTGTTCAGAGTCACAGGTGCTTTTGCCCCCTCAGGCCACCTGGCTGTGGGCAGCCCTCGGGCCTGCCCCAGGGAACTCACATTTCTCTGGGAGGTGGCCCAGGCCCTAGTATTCTGGCCCCAGTGGGGGTATTTCCCATCCCTGCCAAGGGAGCGGGGCCTCCCTGGTGAGGAGGGGCTCTGCAGTGTGGCACCTGTCACCTCCACCCCTCAGGGAGCGAAGGTGGGGCAGCCGGGGGCCCCAGGCCAAGGCTGGGACGGGGCGACCTGGCCTCAGAGGGGAAGCGATTTGGTGGGAAAGGACCTGGCCTTTCAGTCCCACTGACTTGGTGCCTGTGGCCAACCTGCAGCGTCACCTGGTGCAGCTCACTTCCTGTCCCTGAGCCCCAGAGCCTCTTGAGGTTCTTGCGAGGCTCAGAAAACCGAAGAGGCTGTCACCCACTGTACCTGCCCCGAGTCTGCCGCTGTCCACAGACAGCGGCCCCAGAAGGGTTGGTGGGCTGCACCCAGGGTTGTGGTGGGCGAGGCGGGCTGGGGACTCCCGAGGTGAAGCCCAGCCCCAGCGTGCCCCTCCCCACACGCAGCTACTGCTGGGCCAGACCCACCTGGCAGGACCCCCAGATGGAGGGACCACCCCACCCTCCCTCAAGCTCCCCTGGGGCCACGGGGGGGGGGGCAGGCAGAGAATCGTGAAAGGACTTCACCCTGACACTTGCAGACCCGAAGGACAGAGGAGGACGGGCTGAGGGTGACTGTGGAGAGCCCCAAGTCTGAGTCCTGCCGGAGTGTGACCCTATGGACTGGAGGCCACTGAGGGCCAGCTACGGATGGGCAGTCCCCAGTGTCCCTGACCTGGGCAGGACAGCTGCCTGCCTTGGGGCCACCCTCCAGGAGGACTGTCAAAGGCGTTCGGGGGCCCTGGGGCTAACATTTGGTAGTTGCCTGGTCTGACAGACAATGAGCCCCCAGCACTTGGTCCTCCTGTACTAGGCCTGGCCCCAGGCCCTGGTGGGCCTCACCTGACAGGGAGAGGGGCCGGGAGGGCCCAGCCGAGGGGCTGCCCGGCCCATCCTCACCCTCCTGCACTTGGTTGCTTTCCTCTCTGTAAAGGAGGATCGGTGCCACCCCCTACTCGGCTTAGGCAGAGGGGGCCCAGGGCCAGGCAGGGGGAGAGTCGGCCTGTGCTCCTGGTTGCTGCCTCGCTCCCTGGGCCTTGGGCCCTGCTCCCCAGTTGGCCTTGGGGATCCCTCGCACCTCCCTCCTGTTCCAAGGCCTCACCAGGCCTTCCCTGACTCACTGGCACCCTTCCCTCCTAAATGGTTTGACCACATAGGTTTTGTCTCCCTGGTTCCCTGCTGTCTCCCCAGAATGAGGCCTCAGGAAGGGTGGTCCCTGGGGAAGGTCCATCCTCCCCCCACACACAGCCTCCTTCCACCTTCCCACCTTCAGGCCTGGCTTCCAGGAGGTGGGCACTCCACTCCCGTGGCAGGAAGACTAAGGGGTGACCTCCTTTCCAACCCAACATAGAGGCATGGAGGGTCCACATTGCCCCACGTGAGTGCCCTTCGGAGTACTGGAGCGCGTGTGCGCGTGCGAGCCTGTGCGCGTGTGTAGGTGCAGGGCTGGCTCAGGCCTGTGGAAACCTGGGTGTGGGTTTTGCGACTGCTTCGTAGAAGGGCACTGTGTGCCCTTGGCGCAGCTTGAGTTCAAGGGGAGGGGCAGGATGGGGACTCCCGGGCTCTCCCAGCCCTCCTCCAGTGTCCTGAGGACCAGTGTCACATCCTTCCTGCTGTCCCCAGTGAGGGGGACTTCTTGGCAGCCTCCGGCTAACTCGGAAAAGGCAAGGGGAGTCTGTTCTGGGGATGCGGGTGGACTGAGACGGAAAGGGGACAGAGCAGCTACCGGACTGACAGGGATGGGGGGCGAATACAGGGGCTCCCACCGTGCAGCCCCCTTTATGAGACACAAAACCTGCATTCATTTTTAGAGAGGGGGAAGGGAGAGAACCATCGGTGTGCGAGAGATAACATCGATTGGTTCTCACACACCCCCAACCAGGGACCTGGCCGGAAACCCAGGCATGTGCCCCAACCAGGAATCGAACCCACAACCTTCCGGTTTGCAGGCCGGCACTCAGTCCACCGAGCCACACCAGTCAGGGCCAAAACCTGTTCCCCTAGGTACGCACTGGAGAGTTTAAAGGCACGACACAAGACTGGAATGAAAGACCGCCGCCGAGTGAAGTCTCCACCACCCTCCCCAGGGAGGGCGTGGAAATGCCTGCTCTTACTCAGAGACTCTGTATTGTTTGAGGGTTTTTTTCGGGAGAATGTCTTTAAGTATTACTCACAGAATTACATGTAAAGCTAATTTTTACCTAAGTAGAGAGTGCATTCTGGGTCTCAGAGTGCTTTCAGGTCCAGACCTGGGGGGCCGGGCCACCCTGCCCTGAGGGACTGCCCCCACATAACACCCGCTTGGCCCTGAATTTCCTCACTTCCCCCACCCTGTCCCCAAGGCCTGAAGGGCACAGGCCACGCTTCACGACCGGCTGAACACAGACCCCAGCCGGCCCCTCTCCAGTGCTGGGTCATCCCTTCACTCTCACGGCCTCTGAGAAACAGCTCAGCACAGCACTGGATGTTGGGCCCTTGGGACGGTGTTTTGAGGGGGAAAACATAGGGAGACTCCCTTCTCCTTGACAGACCCCAAATTAATCATCCTTTAAAAAATCATCAGTGAATGAAAACTTGAGAAAATGGAGAGATTCAATCACTAGGTTTGCAGCAGCAAATTCCCTTATTTTCTACTCGGGAATAGAGATGATGGTGTCCGTTACGTAAACACTATTGAAAGAATGAGGAAAATTCGTGAGAACCACATTGATTTTAGAAACTGTAACGCTTCCCTCTTGGGCACATATCCCAGTCAGAAAGCGATGTGGAATACTTGAATAAAGAATAAACTTAATTGCTGTGAAAGAAGAGAAAAACACATAGAGGAGTAACCTCACATTTAGCCCGTGAGTCTGATGGCGAAATTCTTCTAACTGCTGCACTGTCCAGGCAGAGCTTGGAGGCCTCCCTGCCCTCCCCGGTTAAGAGGCTCAAGTTAAATGGTTTGTCCAGGGTCAGGCAGCTGTACGCTCCACCGACGCAGGTCCCAAGGGCCCTTCGCTGTTGCCGGCTTTGTCCTTGGCACCTGCCCTGGGCAGGCAAAAGGAGGCGCCAAGTAGACATCTGTGTCCAATAAGTGCCCCCACCTCGGCCTCAGGGCTGCCCACGCCCACGGGCAGGAGTGACCATCTACGGTGCCCACTCTAGCTCGGGGCCCCGAAGGTCACCTCCTCTGCTCTCTGCCTGGGGAGTCAGAGGTGACTCCTATAAATGACCCCTCTCCTAGGCCCACCCTCTCCTAGGATGCGGGTCCCACTGGCGGCTTCCCGCAGGTCTCCGCCAGCTCTGCCCAAATGAATGTCTGGCAGGAGGTCTGAGTGAGGTCTGCCATCCCAAGGGTGACAGGTAGTAACACCAGTGGGGATGGGGGCGTCTTCTCCCCTCACCTCTACCCCTCTGCCCATAGGAGGGCCTTCCCTGCCTGGGCTGCTCCCCGGCTCCTGGCTCCTCCACCCCCTCATTACACACCCACACCCACACTCACACCCACTTCTCCTTTGCAGCTGCCCCACCGCCCACACTTTCCTGACAGGGGGTTACTGGCCCGTGGGCAGGGGCTGGGGAGGTGGTGGGCCGGGGCTTCTCAAGGCTGGCTGAGTCGGGGCTCTGTGTGAGTCCTCGGGGCCCTCCGAGACAGACATCTGGGACCAGCCTTGCTTTGCTTCCTCCACAGCATCACGCGTGTCTCCTAGACCGCAGCCCCCGTCCACGGTGCCAGACTCCTCCCTGCTCCACTTACCCGCCGGGGCTCGATGACTCGGCCCCTTCTAAAGAAACACAGTTCTCCTCACGGCCAGGGTGCCTACGGCTGGAGACCAGGCCCTGCCGGCCCGCAGCCTCAGGCAGGCTCCTGTCCTCCCACCCCTCCTCAGCGTCCCCTGAGGCAGCAGCCGTATCTGTCCCCGGAGAAAGCTTCCCCTTCCCCACACCAAGTCTTTGCCCTTCTGCCCGGAAGGTTGTCCTGCTCCTTCCATCTGTTGAAGAACCACTCCTGTCCCCAGGTTCCCTCCCTGTCCCCTGGACAGTTGCTTCTTCCTCTGTGCCCGCAGCCCTGGAGTGCTTCGGGCTGGTATGGGCCGGGAAGCACTAGGCCCGGCTCCTGTGCTGAGGGTCTCTGCCGGCCGCTGCCCCAGGGAGGGGCAGGCTGAGGGAGCTGGCGTGTGTGTCTGAGACTCACTCTGAGAGACACGGGCAAGGGACAAGTGGGGTAACGCGAGCCCTGGGGAGACAAGACAGACAGGAGGGGCCTTGGTGAGACAGAGGGGAGCAGCCCAGGACACAGTCCTGGAGGAAGGAGCGGGGCCGGTGCACCGTCCACTGGGTCTCCATCCCCTGGTCGGTCTGTTGATCTGAGTCTCCCTTCGGCTGAGGGTCTGGAGACTGAGCTGTCGCTGCCCGTTAGGCCCCCACGCCCACCCGCTCCGTGGCCTCCCCTCCAGCCGGAGGTCCCCGGCTAACCCTCAGGTCGAGGCCCGTGCAGCTCCCCAGTGCCTTCGGCCGGCTGAGCTCCTTCGCCCTGGGCTCAGGCTCTGGGCCAGCCCCTCCCACCTCCGCAGCTGGGCCTGGAGGCCTGAGCTCAGGCCAGGCCCCTCTTCCATAACTAGACCCCGCTCCGTCCAGCAGACGCCTCCTCATCTCCACACAGCTTTCCTGCACCTTCCGTGGTGAGCACCTGCATGGGCTCCCCTTTGCCCCGGCTCCCCCATCGCCATCGGCAGCGCGGCAGCGCGGAAGTCCCTCAGGACACATCCAAAGTGGGCACTCAGGGTGCATTTGATGAACTGAACCAGCTCCGCCTCGGAAGGGCAGGAGGGCTCCCCAGGGGAGGAGGCAGGTGGGGGGGGGTGGCTGGTGGCCTTGGGAGCAGGACAGAGGAGGCCCCCCCCAGGGTCTGTGCCCAAGAGCAGGCCCCGGCCCCGGTCCCCGGCCGGGCAGAGGGTGGGGGTGACGGTTGAGTGGCTGAGGGGAGGAAGCGCAGGTAGGAAGAGAAGGTCTGGGGTGCAGGTCCCACCCCACCGGGCAGGAGGGCGGGGCGGGGGCTGGCGGCCCCTCCTAGGCTCCTCCCAGCGGGGCCGCGGGGCAGACGCAGTCCCGGCCGGTGCGTGGCGGCCGCAGCATGCCGCGGCCGGCGGGGCGCCCGGGGGGCCAGGGCGGCCCGGACCCCACGAAGTGCGTCTCGCCTCAGTGCTTCGACGCGCTGGTCCGCTCCTGCGTGGCCTGCGACCTCTTCCGGGCGCCGAAGCCGAGATCGGGTAAGAGCCGACTCCCTCCGACGGCCGGCTGGCCGGGCGGCCCCGGGGGAAGGGGCCGGGTGCGGCCGCGGGCGGGGGCCCAGGCGCAACGCAGCCGCTCGGGCCCCGGGGCGCGGGTGCGGGGCGGAGGGCTGTCCGGGTCGCGGGCAGGGGCCTGCACGGAGCAGCCATCCCCACGTGGCCCTCACGGTCTCTCTCCTCCCCTCTCCATGACCCCACCCTCTCCACGCCCGGCCCTCCCTCCCTCCCCTCCCCGGTCCAGCCTCGCCTCCCTCCGACCCTTTACTCTTCCCTGGTCGCGCCTCTCTTCCCTGTGTCCCCTGCCCTCCCTCCCCGTCCCCTCCGCCTGTCGTTGAGCCGAGCAGCCTGGCGCCCAGGACCCCGCTGCAGCAGCAGGAGTCGGTGGGCACGGGGATGACCGCCCAGGCCGAGCCGGTGTTGCCGCTGCCCGCGCTGCTCTTAGGCGCCCCGGCGCTGCTGGGCCTGGCGCTGGCCCTGGTCCTGGTCCTGGTGGCCCTGGTGGCCCTGAGGCGGCGGCGGGCGCGCGGGCCCGCTTCCCCGAGAACCCCAGAGAGAGAGCAGGACGGTGAGTGCCCCGTCCGGGGAGGGTCCCACTGTGAGGGCTGGTGGCAAGGGAAATGGGGGGGGGGGGGAGGGCTCCATGGGGCATGCAGAAAAGGGGGGAAGGGCTGTGTGCTGAGGGTCTCTGGCTGAGACCCCCCCCCCCCAGGCTATGACTTGAGCACGAACTCCTGTGTTCAAGTAAGGGACACACATCTGCGGCCTCCCAGACTTAGGAGGAGGAGACCCAGGCCCCAGGGAAAGAGGGGCTTGTTCTGTCCTCTCTGGAATGGGCAGCCAGGCACTGGGCAGACTGGCTGCTGCACTTCCTCTCTCCTGTCAGCACCCGCTTTGCTGCCTGCTCAGCACTTCCTGTCCTGAGGGCCCATCGTGTGTCCCCTCTTCCCCCTCTGAAGTGGGGCTCCATCCATAACCCCTCAGCCGGAGGGCTGTGCTGCCCGTGAGGCTTCCAGGACAGGGATGGAGAAGGCTGTGACCCAGTCCTGACCCCGAGTTCCCCCCTCTAGGGCCCCTGGATAAAGTCGTGGTCCTCTCTTCTGGGTCCCCTGATGCCACAGCCCCGGTCTGGCCTCCACCCAGAGAAAATGCAGCCACCGGCCCACCTGCCCACAGCGTCCCCGTGCCAGCTACAGAGCTGGGCTCCACTGAACTGGTGACCACCAAGACAGCCGGGCCTGAGCAACAGTAGCGAAGGAAGGGGCAGGAGGTGGCCCTTGTCCGCCCTGGAGCCATCGGCCAGCAGACTGCAGCTTGAATTTGGCTCTTCCTCCCAGCACCTACCTGCCCCTTTCCTGGAAACCAGGCCGCGCTGCATGCAGACTGAGGCTGCAGATCGAGGCTGCAGGCCGCAGGGTTCAGCTGTCCCACTGTCCTGTGCCCATGTATCAGTGTTTGGGTTAAAACCCTACCGTGGGCAGGGCCCCCCGGAGGCTGTGACTTGAGCCCGAGCTCCTGTGCTTGGCAGGGTCCTGTGCTTGGGAGGGTCCTGTGCTCGGGAGGGTCGGGCCCTTCAGGCTGGGGTTTGCTTTTAGAGAGTGGAAGGCACCTGTGAGCCGGGATGAATCTCAAAAGGACCCTCGGGTCAAAAGGACCGAGTGGGACGAGGCAAGATTTGTAGCTGAGCGCTTATTTCTTTACTACTTGCTCTCGGGGCTGTCCTGCTTTTAAACTGATGCACACGGCTGCCACGCTGACCGAAAACCAACCGATGGGCTCACTTGGGGATTCAGCACAAGATGATTTTAAGAAATAGCCTGGATTGTGCTGATTCTCAGGTCTCTGCACCCTAGTGGCAACCCTGAGCTGGGCCCAGTCTGCTAGGTCCCATGATGCCATTTGCCCTCCAGGGGCAGTCCCTAGAGCCCAAGGCTCACCCTTGGGAGGAAGTCCACATCCCCTGGGGCGGGACTGCAAAGGCTCCGCACCGACAGGCGGCTCCCTCGGAGACCATCTGGGCCCCACCTGCCTCCAAAGCTCACTCAGCTGTGCACAGGGAAGGGCCCAGGATCTGCGTTCATAAGCCCGTGGCCTTGAACCAGCTGGACTCGATGTCCCTTGAGTTCCCTCCTATCTGTGGCCTGCCCTCTTCAAGCACTGGGCCCAAGGGCTGGGGCCACTTGGCCATTCTGTGCCAGCCCCTGGGGTCACCCACCACCCCAGTGGAACTGTTACTCTGGAGGCGGTGCCACCTGCCCTGCCCGGGGCTCCGGACCACACTGCGCACTCCGTCAGCCTCTCCCGCCAGCCCTCCTTCTCAGGGCTAGACCTGACCGGGACTCCTCCCTGGATAGTGTCCTTGGAACTTCTTACAGCTCAGCATCCCTGGAAGGACCACTGGGCTGCAAGTTGCAAGAGGGGGTTCTGGGTATCATTTCATACCGCCGCAGGACCTTGGCTACACTCTGTCCCATTCGCCGAAGCTCTCAGCTCTGCTCTCCCTGCGCTGAGGTCCCAGTCGCCTGGCCACCACCCTCGACTTCTGCCGAGAAGACCGTCAGCAGATGGCATCATTTGGAGCCCCCAGGACCTGGACCGTCACAGCGGTGTCTCTCCCTCCGCTCCCTCCCTGAACCATCTCAGACGCCCCTCCCTCCAGGAAGCCAGGTGGCTGTGATGAGGTCAGGTGGCAGGCAGTAGGCAGGAGGATGAGGGGCAGTCCCAGAAAGGCTCCAGGCATCCACTCTCCCCCATCTCTGGGGCCACTCCATCGTGCCCAACCCCCCTTTCCCCTCCGTGGAGCCCCAGGGCTGGGGGCTGGGCCTTGGAGGTGAAACAAGCGGTTGAAACTCCTCTGGGGCCTAGACATGCAAAGCTCTGGCACCTTGTCTCGCTCCCGCTGACCGACCCCTGGCTGACCCCTGGCTAGTGGGTGCTTCCCCTCCAGTCTGTTTCCCTTTCTGAAACATGGAGGCTGGGTTCGAGGTTCTCTCTGGCCCGTGACCCTCAGAGGAGGAGGACTGGAAAGAACCTTGGAGAATCCTTGTGCCCCACTCCCCATTTTACAGATGAGGAGACTGAGGCCCAGAGGAGAAGGCCTGGCATCACTGTCATCCAGCAAATAACAGAGGGGGTTTATTCAGGAAGAACCAGGAGCCGGGGCCAGGTGTGCAAGGAGGGGAGTCAGTCTCCTCAGCCCTTGAAAGGACCCCGCCTCCCAGGGGCCTCAGTCCTGGGCATTGTTTTCTAAGCAGCCTTCTCAGGATTACTTCATTTGGTCTTTAAAATAGCACCTGAAGGGGGCGGGGTGGGGGGGAGTGTTTGCGTTTGCTTTAAACAAATGTTTTCTATTTAAAAACTCAAGGCATGCACTCTGTAGACACTTTGAAAAGTTCGAGGCAGCCATCTAGGATGGGATCTACAGAGAACTGGCCCACAATCCAGCAACCCCAGGCCCAAGTGCTGGGGTTTCTACGTCACTGTCATCATGCTGTACCTAGGAGTTCGTGTCTTGACCGTCCCTTGTATTTAAGTCCTTCGTAAACAAGATGAAAACCTTACAAAGGTTGGAAAAGTTTGCCCCTGGGGCATTTGGTTTTGTTCCGTTTGTACCGTGGTCCCCCTTCATCCACAGTTTCACTGTTGGCTGCCTGGTGTCAACCACGGTCTGAAAATATTCCATGGGAGGGTCCAAACATGAACAACTTGTGAGTTTTAAACGGCACACTGTTCTGAGTGGCATGCCGAACTCTCCAGCTGCCCTGCCTGGGACATGAACCTGCCTTTGGCCAGCGTCTGTCTCCACGCGGTGCCCGCTCCCTGCCCCTCGGTCACTTAGCCATCTTGGTCATCAGATACAACACTGGGGTTCAAGTCAGCCTTATTTTACTCACTGTGGCCCCAAAGCACCAGGGCAGTGAGGCTGGCAATTTGGATATGCCGAGCAGAGGCCTTGAAGTGCTTCCTTTAAGTGAAAAGGTAAAAATGTTCCACTTTAATAAGGAAAGGACAGAAACTGTGTGCTGAAGCCGCTAAGATCTACAGTAAGGACAATTCTGTCCATGAAATTGTGAAGGGAGAAGAAGAAATCCCTGCTGGCTTTGCAGTCAGTGCGTGGTACGCGGTTAGTACAATGGAGAAAACATTCCATTTGTGAGTGGAAGACACGGCCGGAGCCCTGGCCGCTGTGGCGTGGCTGGCTGAGCCCCATCCCACAAACTGGGAAGGTCTCGGGTTTGAGTCCCCAGTCAGGGCCCATGCCTGGGCTGTGGTTCCCCGTCCGGGTGGGTGTGAGAGGCAACTGATCGATGTTTCTCTCCCATGTCCATGTTTCCCTTCCTTGCTTTTTCCCTCCCTTTCTCTTTCTGAAAATAAACAAATAAAATCTTCAATAAAGAAAAAGGCCATGAATAGAAAACATATTCTAATCCACGGCAGCCTGCGGTGCCGGAAAGTGCTGAGGCTGTACAGACTGCAAAGGGGCCACATTTGCATAATTTACTACAATCTATTGTTCTGTTTTATTAATTATTGTTAATATTGTTAATCTCTTATTGTGCCTAATTTATATGAGTTAACCTTTATCACAGGCATGTCTGTGTAGGAAAAAACAGCACACATAGTGTTTGGGGCCGGGCCGCCAGCTGGGAAGGGGACCGCCACCACGTTGCACTGGAGCCCCTCCTCGTGCGGGACTCTGCCTGAGTGTTTCCCAGGAGAGTTGTTGCTACCAAAGGCTTTGACCTTTTTAAAGGCCCCTGTTGTTTGAATTGCTTTTCTGCCAGTCTGGACCAGTGCATATTCATGACAGGGCTGATATGGCCCGTCTTGCCGATAGGAGAAGAGAGGCCCAGAGAGGCGAAGGGATCTGGCTAGAGATACAATAAAGCAGAGCCAGCCCGGGCTAGACCCAGGCTCCCACCCCTACCCCTGCCCCATGTGGAAGGTCATCAACCCAGGTGCCCTCCTTGAGGGACGACTCTAGGTTCTACTCCTTGCTTTCATCACTACTCAAAGATTTCTGTCCCCAGCTGGTCTCTTCGCAGTAAAGGGGATCCAAGGTAGACCCTGGAAGAACTGCGCTTTGGGATGGGGACCAAGGGAAGCAGCCCCTTCTCCTTAGCCTGTGCGTCTGGCCTAAAGGGGGTTAGGGGAGGGGCTGGCTGAAGTCTCAGTTCCTCCTGGGGCTTCCTGCAGGCACCTTTCACTTCCTGCCCCGCAGCCCTGTGTTCGGGGTGGGGGAGGGGGTGGCCCAGCTGGTGAGGCCAGGAAGGAGGGGCCTGACCCCTGATCTTGCCCTGTCTCAGCAAGGGCTGTCCCACTGAGCCCTTCCCTCCAGAAGCTGGTGGCATTGCTCTGGGCCTGAATCCCTATCTTCAAAATGGAGCCTGCAGGCCACCCGGCAGTTGGAGATTAAAGGGGTCAAAGGGCAAGCAGGAGGGCCTAGGCCCACCCTGGATGCTTCCACCTCCTTCCCTCCCTGGGACGCAGACACTTCCTGGCGAGCCCCCAACCTTCAGCAACCCCGACCCCACTCTGAAAGTCAGTTTCCCAGAGCAGTTTCCACCCCGTCACTCATCCATTACTGCCCCTGGATCGCGCGGGATCCCGGACCCGCCTGCTCGTGCCAAGGCCACCTTGGGTGGTGCTGGGTCCGCCCCAGGCCCTGCCATTGGGTCCTAGTCTGATGGGAGAGACCGACCATGGCACAATGATGGGACAGGGTGATCCCCTCCAAGGCCAGGGAGTGTCCCAAGCAGGGGGTGGGGGGAGACTAACCCAGCGACCCTGGGCAGGTGTTTTGAAGAATAGGAGGTATGTCCTGAATCCTAAGGCGGTTTTCTTGCTGCGATGGAGCAGGGAAAAAGCATTCCTGGCCCAGGGGACTAGGTGCGGAGGAGAGGGGGTGGGAGGGTCACGGTGCAAGGGAAGGGGCTGGAGAGCTGGGCCGCAGGACCTGAATCCCAGGACCGGTGCGCGAGAGCCTTCGCCGTGCCCGGCCTGCCGCCTGCACACAGCCACCCTCAGGGAACCCGAGCGCTCCTCCAGCCCCACTGGTGGTGTGTCACCTGTTCCGGTCCCCTCTGAGAGGCCACCAGACCCAAGTCTTCCTAACCCAGAGATGAAACCTGATCCCTCTCCAACCCGTGCCCCTGCCCCGCTGCCTGGTCCTGACCCCGGGTCCGGGTGGGGTAGCAGCAACTGCCCAAGGTCACAGGAGTCGGGAGAAGCCAGGAAGACACAGAGCCTGCGTCCCGGCTCTGCTCTTTCCCGGGGCTCTTTAAGGTAGGGGGGCTGCCCAGGGGACCTCTGAGCGTCTCTTCACTCCTTTGAGCTGCAGAGAATCTGGGGTCCAGCCCCGGTGGCGTCTCAATGAACGACCGCTAGGTGCTTGACTCAGACGGGATGAGGTCGACGCGGGAAGCGCAGCCCGGGGGCGGGGTCAAAGGAGGGAGGCGGGGCTGAGGGACCCCAAACCCCAGAGGGGCCAGAAAGGGGCGGGGCCAGAGGCAAGTGGCCGGCGGAGGGAGGGCGAGGAAACACCGGGAGGAATCCGGTGGGCAGCGGCGACGAGGCCAACCCTACACTTCTCCAAACTTCTCCGCACTCACGTGGCGTCCGGGTCCCCCTGCGCCCCCTGAGCCAGTGGGCCCAAATGCAGGGCATGGCCGGACTTTGGGACAAGGTGTGAGGAGGACACCTCACCCACCCTCCCGGTCTGGGCTGGGTGCTGACCTCGGAGCTGTGTCCCAGGAACCCGCAGGCCGGCGGGGCAGGGTGGACGCGTCCCAGGTGGACGGGTTGTACGGCATTTGCCGAGCCCTGTCCTCTCTGGATTCTTTTCTGTCCTACGGTCTTCGTGGCCAGCTCCGGACTTCCATGTTCACAGGGACCTTTGGAGGGTCCTGAAGATGGCGACTCATGGGGTCATTCCAGGCAGGGGGATTAACTGTGATGTCTGGGGCAGGACTCCCCAAGGCCCGGGAGATGAGGGGAGGGGAGGGCTGGGGAGAGGGTGACTGGGGAGTTGGGATGGGAAGCTAAGCCCCAGCTCCCTGTACCCGGGTCCTTCACTCCCTCACGGCCTCAAAGGGCCCGGCACCCCCTCCCTCCCACAGGCAGCTGGAGCCTGAGTCACCAGCTGCCTGTCAGGGAGACAAAGGAGCGGGGGCCCTCCCCTCCAGACCCTCTTCCAGTGCTGGCACCCATCTGTGCCGGCAGGGAGTCCACAGTGTTCTGCCTACAGCCTCTGCCTCCACCAGGGAGAACATGGAAGCACGATGAGCCAGAAATGAGGGCTTTGAGACTGCGGGCGGCACCCCCCCCCCCCGTGGCGATGGCCGGCTTCTCAGCCCAGCGGTGGGGGAGGTCCCCTCGAGGTTGCCTGTCCCCAAGAGCGCCTCTGGCAGGACCGGCTGGCTTCTCCCTGCAGCCCTGTGGCAGAGGCACCAGCAGCCCATCTTTCGAATGAGAAAACCGAGGACTAGAATGGTTAAATGGCCCTATTAGAGCAGAAATTGCAATCCCCGTTAGCCTGGCTCCAAGATGCAGGATAAGTAGGAGGGGCTGGGAAGGCTTCCCGGAAGAAAGACCCGCCCGTGGGAAGGCTAGGGGCTCCTGGAGGAGTCGGGGTGCCTCCAGCACTGGTCAGGCGGTTAGTTGGGTGCTGGGTGTGCTGTCAGGGTGCGGGAACGAAGGGCACTCGGTGCCAGGGCCCTCCAGCTTCTCTCTGTTGGCACTGAACTAGCCAGAGGGCAGTTTGGGGCTCACAGCGCAGGTTCCAGGCCAGACGCTGGCCCTTCCTGGCTGTGCTCCAGTCACAGCAGTCGCTTCCCCACTCTGGGGCGTGGGTTTCTCGCTAGGAAATCCCAGATCCCCTGGCCCAAGGCTGGGCAGACTGGTCACCCACCATCTAAAATGGGGACACTGAGGCACAGCACAGGCTTTCCCAAATGTCCACAACCTCTCGGGACCCTGAGCCTTGCACAGCCAAAGCTGGGCACTGAGTGAGGCTCAACAGTGAGGAAAGAACACGCTTTCACAGGTGCATCTGCACTGACACACACGTGTACACGTGCCCGTGGGGCAGGGAAGGCAACAGTCACAGTAGCCCCGGGCATGTACACTCGCTCAAATTCGTGAGCACGCAGACACCGCACACTCGAGCCGCCAGCACTCACAGCTGGGGGGCGGGGCAGGTGCCCTTCAGGCTCAGAGACTCGGCTCATCTGCCCGCCCCATGGGGCTCGCTGCAGATGCCAGGGGTTATTTTAAGCCTGGATCAATGGACAATTTTTGGTGACACAGGCTTGGGGGCTGGCGAGCAGAGGAGACAAGGGGCAAGTGCTCTGGTGCCATGACAGGGAGGGAGACCCCAGGTCCAGGAGGGCAGCCTGGGCAAAGGGCTCGCTCCAAAGCTGGACCACTCCATATGTGGGTCCCCTTGCCTGGCACATGGCTGGGCACCTGGGGGGAGTGTCGGCTGAATGGACGGCCAACGCCCAGGGCTCAGCCAGCCAACTGTGGTCTCTCTTTGCTTTGCCCCCTCTGCCCCCCCCCCAGGCTGTTTGTTAATACAGAGAGGGCACTGAGTGCTGGGCACGGATGGACCTGGTAGGTGTGGCATCTCTGGTTTGCTGGCTGGCCACTGAACCAGACTGAGATGGGGGCAGGAAGCATGGGTGAGGGAGGGGCTGGAGGTTGGACCTCAGTCCCTGGGGTGGGAGGGGACTGGAATATGTTCCTTTGTGGGACAAATGGAGATCATATATTATATATATATATGGAGGTTAACATGGGGGGGGAGGCTGAGCAGAGCACCCACTGAGGCCAGGATGGTGCAGGCAAGAAAGGAAGGCCCTCTGGGCCCAATAGGGTCACCCTGCCTGGGAAGAGGCCACAGTCCCAGGCAGCTGAGACAAGCCTTTTTAAACCTGGCACCCAGCAGTCGGGTGGAGAATCAGCCGCCCTCGGAGCCCTGGTAACCTAGAGGGCAGCTGGGCGGAGGGTGGCGGGGCATGGATCCAAACCGGACTGTGCTATGGGTTCTGTTCCCCCAGGAGGCAGGAAAGGACCCCCCCCCCCCCAAACACAGCCAGAAAGTCCTAAGCAGAATAACAAACTGAAAGTTTGGCATCAAAATGTAAACTAAGGGAGCCAAATATGTGGTGATGGAAGGTAATTAAAAAAAAGAGTAAACGAAACCACTTACAAAATGGTTTGTAAAGTGTGACATATTAGCATCAGTTGTCCCTGGTGTTGGGATTAAGGTGATTTCATTTCATTCCTTTGCTTATTTCCTTTTTCTCCAAATTTGTAATAGTGTTTCAGTGGGCTAGGGTCTTCGGGGCTGGATCAGAGGCACGTTTGTGGGTGGAGGGAGGTGAGGGGCTGCCTTTAGCTGGGGGATTGGGTGTTGCAGGAGGCCACCCCCCCCTTCCTGTCTTAGCCTGTCAGCACCTCATCTCAGCAACAGGACTTGATCCTCCTGAAAAT